ATTGACAATGGAATCTTCATCTCTCAAAAGAGATATGCCAAAGAGGTCTTGAAGAAGTTTGGAATGGATAAAAGCAACTTGGTCCTAAATCCCTATTGTTCCTGGGTTAAAATTGATAAAGATGATACAGGTGAGACAGTAAACAACTCCATGTTCAAGCAACTTGTTGGTAGCTTGATATATTTAACCACTACCAGGCCGGATCTGATGTATGCAGTTAGTGTAGTCAGTAGATATATGGCCAAGCCAACTGAGATGCATCTTATGGCAGCAAAGAGAATACTGAGGTATGTGCAGGGAACTATGTGTTTTGGGATTTTCTATCAAAGATCAGGCAATCAGGAGCTTGTGGGATACATAGACAGCGACTATGCTGGATGTATCGATGACAGAAAAAGCACCTCGGGCTATGCCTTTATACTTAGCAATGCAGCGGTGGCATGGTCATCAAGGAAACAGCCTATAGTCACACTCAGCAACCACCGAAGCAGAATTCGTAGCTGCGTCAGCTTGTGCCTGCCAACTGATTTGGATGAAAAGGGTGTTGTCCAAGTTGGACTACAATGGAAGCAAAAGTCCAGTGATTTTTTGTGATAACAGTTCTACCATCAAGCTCTCAAAGAACCCCGATTATGCATGGTAAGAGCAAACATATTGATGTGCGCTTTTCACTTCCTCCGTGATTTAGTAAATGAAGGAAAGGTTCAATTGAATTATTGCGACACCAAACAGCAGATAACTGATATCTTTACTAAGCCGCTCAAGCTTGAAGTCTTTCAAGAGCTCAGGAAGAAGCTTGGCGTATGTGACATCTTAGAGATAAACTAGACAGGTCTAGTTTAGGGGGAGAATTGTTATGTTATTATTAATATTGTTATTAATTGTTATTTGTTATATGTAACTGACTTAGTCTCTATTGAATCGTGAGAGGATCATGGTTGTTAGTTTTAATTAAGCCTAAATTATAGGGAGTCAAGTATGACTTAGTGGCCCTTATTCTTAGGAAGCATTCAGTTCAGTTTTCCTTTTTTGTAAGCTATTTATATAGCAGTATTTCATTCTAATAAATATGTCAGTTACCAGATTTGCTAACAGGGATTTTATCACAACAGATTTGAAATTATCGTTGCAGTCATCATCAATGTTACCCTCATTATCAGAGTGTTCCTCCATATTGTCCCAAGGCTTCTTAAGGAATTTCTCAAAATCAACATTAGGAATGGTTGAAACAATGGCCAGTTGGGTAGCATCAACAAATTATGATTCAGAACTTGAGACTTCAATATGTAGGTTTTGGATGTTTGTTATGTTATTTTTTCTATGTTTGTGGTTATTGTCCTCTACAATCTCCTCATTATATATTTCTACAATAGGGGTAAGGACTATGGTGTTCTCAATAATTTTTTCCTTGATGACACCGCTGGATTCCCTATGTTCCACGAGAATCTTATCCAGCACTGGTTTATTTGGGTTGGTGTTAAGAGGTGTTTTGACGGGATCAATCTGTTTAGCTTTGTGGTGGTTTTTAGTGGATTGTTTCCTTCTGTATGTATGGACTCTGTGACCCTAATATTTTCAAAAACTACAGAAGTCAGGATTTTTTTTCGTATTCAATGTCGACAAAAAAGTGAAGCCCCACTCTTTCCACGAGGATTTTGTCCAAAAGATCGATATCCATTAAGACAAAAAAGAAGTGTCCCAAAAGGTCTATCCAATAAAGGTTTGTTAGATGAAGAATCTATGCAGATGGGTGTACTTAGGTTGTTGGCTATGGTGAAGATGATCTTGAGCCTCCAGTATTCTGGAGCAAGTCCATGAATACGGACCCAAACCTGAGCTAAGCTTTGGTTCATATTGGAAGGGACAAAGTCTTTTGTCCATGGAAAAAGTTTAAGTATACCAGGGTTAAGATTCCATGAAGGAGAAGCACAGACTCTTCTAACATCTTCGATGCTGGAGAAGGAGAACTAAAAAAAATCCTTTCCCAAGAGAAGTGACTCACCACTTCAGAAGTGAGTTCCATAAAGCTTTTAGCCTGGGTTTTCAGTTGTTGAACTATAAGAGGGGTAGATCCTTTTGGCCAAAGGATTGTTCCATGTAAATTGTGTTTACAGGAATCAAGCCCCTTTAGGTATTCTTCTTTAGGAATAAAAAATGAAGAGTCTATCCCTTTGGTAAATTGGCTAGTAGGAATATCACAAACATTACTGATAGCTTCAGTAAAGGTTTTGTTGGGTTTTACCATATTGGCATCAACGCAGAAGATCGGGGAAGATGAAACGGGTTTTGTTGTTGTTTCTAGGAAAAAGGAGTGGAAGAGATCCTTGGTGTGATCGGAACAAGGAAACTTAGGGTAAAGAATTTGGGGGAGATGAAGCGGGTTAGAGAGAAGGGGATGTTCTCTCTATAGGATATTCATTTTTAGTTAAAACATGCTAAAATAGACCTTTATAAAAACAATTGGGTCTATATATATATATATATATATATATATATATATATATATAATTATATATATATATATATATATATATAATATATATATATATATATATATATAATATATATATATATATATATATATATATATATATATATATATATATATATATATATATATATATAATATATATATATATATATATTATAGTTTATGATTAGGAAGTGTTTCTTAGGCGGAAAAGGATTATTCCACAATGATACGTCGTAAATAATTGTTCATTGGACGACAAATATTTTTCATGAAAATTCAACATAAGTGATTATCTCTTGGATAGAAAGATTGCTCAGTGAGGATTCAACAAAAGTGATTGTCATTGGACGACAATAATTCTTTCATGAAGATCCAACATAAGTAATTTTCCTTTGGGAGTTTTTGACAAGATACTTAACTTTAATCCTTAATTCATGCAAAAACAAGAGCAACGGTCTATTATATAATAGCATGGGGTGCCTCATTAATAACTCATGTACCACTAGAGGAAAAGAGTGTCCCTACAAAATAAACAATGTCCTTTAAATAAATGATACATTTGACATAGGTGATATCTTATCTTAACCAATCCAACTGATAAACTTAACTAAACAAAACATGGCATAACGTCTAAATAAGTTAATGGCTTATGCACGACCTCTTCGTATGACACCTTTCGCTCATCAAGAAAAAGATGACCAAATCTTCATCATTAAGAGGTTCCTTTTGTGGTTCTGCTTCTGGATTCAAGTCTACAACACTCACTTCTTGTGCGTCTAGCTCTTGGGTGTGGGACACGACCATAGTCTTCACTTTAGTTTCAAATAATGCATATAATATCTCATGGAAGTCTCCTTGAAATTTCGTTCCTTATGGGACAAATGTCAAACACGAGCTGCTTCGGTAACATGTTCGACAAGTCAAAATAGTACCAACACAATCATAATAGTATGAGTTGTACAAGTTGATGGAGCTGAAAAATGATAAATAACAAAGGGAATTGGTAATCTAGTTTGGTGAAACCACACATACGTCTAGAAGGCTGAGTCCACAACCCAATCAAGGAAATTCACTATTAGTAGTTTAGTACATTAGTCTTACAATAAACAATAAGCCCGTGTTGTTCAATGCCTCTTCCTAACACTACTCAATGACTTTCTATTTAGAGCTTCCCCATAAATCGGAGAACCCTTTCACTTTCTCTCTCAAACACCAAGATGTTAGTGTTTGGACTTTACAATCACTAAACCCTAATGATCAACCTCAATCAAAACTATGAGAGATGTTAAATATTATAACTCAACTAGACAAACATATTATGCCAAGTTACTGAAACATAATGGTGTACATAAAACAACAAGGACTCCTTGTAAAACTATAACTCAAAAATTTTCAATGTGAATGCTTGAATTCCAATGCATGTTATGAGCTCTTTATATAACATAGTTCTTATGGACTTTTCTTCATTGATATTTGATTTGATTTGATTTGATTTTTGCTCAGATAATCTTCCGAAATGCAACAAGAAAGATCTTATGTGTAAGGCCCAAATGTCGTAAGCAACACGTTGGGACATCGTGTCTAGGATGTGCCCCTTCTGCACCTCCATACAGCTTAAGCAAGCTAGATTAACTTGAACACTTCTCCATGTTATAGTTTTTTTAAAATGTAGTTAATCTAAAGACCAATTCACAAAGAACTTCAATCTCCCCTTTTGGAAAATTGTAGCAAAACAAATCTTCAAGATATAGAAATTTGTTCAACTCTTTAATATCTAGCACTTTGTTTAGATCAAAACAAGTGACTGCCAGTAGAATCACTGGCCTTCATTAACCATTAGAATCACTAGTCTTCATCAGAGCATTCAGTCAGCATCAATATTCTTCCATTATATCTTAGTTAAGCATAACAACAACAGAAGTCAATAGCATCAACTAATGAACATTTAGATGCTTACACATAGTCCATTCTGTTGCTTTAAACCCAAATAGTCAATCCAATTCATCATGCAATCATTCACATACTTAGTCATGCATGAACTAATTATCACATAGTTAGCATCATACAATCCTACTAACTAATAATTATTAGCGTGAATTCATTCACAAACTTAGTCATACAAATAAACAGTTAGTAGTTAATAATTAGGATATGTAAAAATCTACTAACTCAATTATAATAACACTCGGATTTGTTTACACTGATATAAGGGCTATACGTCCTTCCTGATGCTCTAGCATGGGAGAACAACATTAGTACTTTCTGATCAGTAAATACTAAACAATTATCAAGTTTACTTGCACATAGCAGATGCACAACTTCTTACCATTACTCCCCCTTTTTTCTATAATTTGGCAAAAGGTTAATTCTTCAAAGAAGTCAGCATGCATAGAAGATAGCATGCACAAGTTCATCCATGCAAGGTTAGTATGTTAGACCATACACAACCATATCACGAGATAAAAGTCACCAGAATCATCATCAAAATATGTGAGTCACTATTACATAACCAAATCTCAAGAGATATTACAAATCAAGAATAAAACATGTCCAGATATAAGACAAGTAAACATGAAACAAAACCCTTTAGACTCATTCATTATCTATATTATGTAACGCATGTATTTGACCTAGTCTTCATCACCCTCTGAGTTTTGAATCGATTTCTTCTTAAGCTTAAACATGGCTCTTCTTCAAGGACTTATTTTTGGTTGCAAATTTCTTCCTAGTTTCAGTTGACTCCATAGATGTCCTAACAAATATAGGCTTCACTATTTGCAGAAAAGGTAGACTTAACTCCCTTTTTGTCATCTACTCTAGTGGTAGATGGGCTCTCCCTACTTTGATTTCCATAACTTTGGCTCATATTGAGATCAATTTACACTCGATGAAGAGAGATAAAGAGAGAGAGGAGGAGAGAGAGAGAGAGAGATGAGAGAGAGAGAGAGAGAGAGAGGAGAGAGAGAGAGAGAGAGAGAGAGAGGAGAGAGAGAGAGAGAGAGGAGAGAGAGAGAGAGAGAGAGGAGAGAGAGAGAGAGAGATGAGAGAAAGATAGAGAGAGAGAGAGAGAGAGAGAGAGAGAGGCAGCTGTTGTACCCCAAAATTTTCCCTCCCTTTTTTCTTCTCAAGACATTCTTCCAAGGCTTCTCAGACACTCAGGACACTCAAGGGTTGACTGGTCAAGATGTTCATCCTAAGCCAAAGGCCCTACAACTAGGGTTTGGAGTTTCTCAAGGAAATTAGGTTTGAAAAGGTTACAACTGACTTCCATGGTTCTTCATAGTTCCTTAACAAGGTTCATATCAAGTTTCAAGTCCTGCATCACAAGTTTTCTCAATCAATGGCTAAGATGATTGAAAATCAACTATATTAGTCAAAAGGTCAAATATGGTCAACATACAGTCAAACTTCAATATTTTTGGTCAACATTAACATTTTGAAGTGATATTCATCATTTGATCAAGGGTTGATCATGATTCCCCAAATCATCAAAAGTCAAGAATTGCCAAATTAGGTTTTCCTTGGGAGAAGTCAACTGAACTTTGACCAAGCATAACTTTCACATACTTCATCAACTTTTCCCAAACCAAAGCCCATTTTGAATAAAATTCAATCCTCTAAAACTTTGTTTTTATTCTTAGGTCCAAAAATGCTTCATTTGAAGACATGAGCTAAAACATTATAGGTCATTTTCAAAAGTCAACAAAAGACACTTTTTGTCATGGCAACTTACATCAAGACAATGTCTTCAAAATAAAAAAATGATAAACATAGAGATTGTATAGGACACCTTGAGATTTCTAAAAAGTCCAAGATCATCTTCAAAAGATGAAAATTGGGAAAGTTATGAGTTGCACATGTTGAGAGATTTTGGAGAAATTCATGAAGTTCAAATTAGGCAATTTTGAATATTGAACCAATGGGCTTAATTTTTGAGACTATAATGTGTTCATGTATGTTATAGGACCCCTAAAAACCATTTCCCTTATTTTTCATGATTTTTATTTATTTTATTTGAATTTTTATTCAATTAAAACAAATTAAATCAAAATAAAAAGTGAGGCTAATGGGCTTAGACACATGATTGGATTTATGGGTCAAGATTGAAGCCCAAATATTCAAGCAAGCTAGAAATGTGTCTAGATTCATGCAAAAAAATGAAAATGGCAAGAATGCTACAAAGTTTGGAAAGTTTTCAAATTTTGATTCTTGTCTTAAAACATGGTTAAATGCTTGATTCATTCCATCTTTGCTAGCCCATTAACTCTCTCTAGAAATACTCAAGCATATCAACTCCAAAGACCACTGAATTTTGCACCAAAATTCTCCATTAAGTTCTCCAAATCCAAAGAAATTGTGAAAATCATATCTCGCATCTCTAGCGATTTTCAAACCAATCCAAACCTTCCATTGTCCTCTTAACGTTGCCGGGAGTCAGAATCAACCTTTACCCTTCTCAAATTAACCTCAGAAACCACCCTCACATCAACTCTGATTGGTAAGATTGGTAGGTTCATTTTCTCAAGATTTTCATGGTTTAAATCCTTGTAAGCATGCTTATTCCATTCATATGTATTTCCTGAATTTTTCTAATGTTTTACATGTAAGCATGGTATACATAATGCTTTGACCTTAAGATCTTGAAAGATTCAGATCCAACGCCTCTGATGAAGTCCCCGTGGTGAACCCCAGAGAACCGGTCACGCAGAACCACCACCAGCTCCTGGGCTCATTTTTTTGGGCTTTGTTTTCCTTCTTTCCACACCCTTCCAATTTCTTACAAGAAGACCCATACATTTTTCTTCCTTTTATTTTTTTTTAATTTAATTTAATTCTTTTCTTTTAATAACTTTCTTTTAA